ATTGAATGCATTATACGTTGTCTTATAAAAATCTAACATCATATTCCGAGTGGCCCACAAGCATTGCGCAGACGTTTTGGAGCAGTTGCTGTTTGTGCCGCAAAGCCCGACAGCACTGCTGCAGCAGGCAGTGAAATATGTTTTCCAAAACTGCGTCACAATTTTCTTTCTCTGTAATAGTCCGCAGTTGCCCAGAAAATTGACCTATTTATAATGGCAATACGTCCAAACTAAGTTCGAGTTGAAACGCACAGTGCATCTTTAGTTATGATGACTAAAAACATCACAACGCAGATTACTATCAAAAACCTTCTGGATTTAACTAACGTCGGCTGCATTAAACTGAGCCCTGCTAACGCTACACAGCAAAATCACTCCAGGATGACTGACGTGTCAAAAAAAACACCCTGCATGTCCAAAACAACTAAAATTACTCTAGCTATCCTTCCTTTGTTGTCGCCCAAGACAACACTGGCAAATACAAAGGGACGGAATAGCACGGAATGCATACGTTCCCATCCGTCCAACAGAGACACGGGCTAAAAGTAGATGTAGAAACACATCGTATCTCCGACAAACTCTGCAGCATCCGTGAAGGTTCGTAATTTGATACAGAAAAGCCTCTATAACGTTACTACTTACTTGCCGCATCAGAGTGCATTTTTATGAAACATACAACTGTCTGTGGGAAGTCCTGAGACCGGCCAATAGGCGGGCCTTGTCCACGTAAACCACGCCCCCAGACGGTGATTGGATCTGGGAAAGCTCAGTCCCCGCCTCTGGTCGCTGCATATTTGCCATTCAAGGTGTCATGTAAAGAGGAAAAGAGGAAAAGGAAATAGATCCCGCCTACGCACACATGTGATAAGTCAGAGTTTCCAAACAGGTTGCACTTGCTCTGTGATTCATTGGTTATGAGGTTATTATGAGCACGCCAGTCACCAGAGTTTCCACGTGCACGCTTAAAGCCAGCCCACGATGGAGTCTGATTGGTCAATGTGGTAATAATGCGGCCTCCCGTTGAAGCTTTCTGTTTGCCTCATGGATGCGAACTCAACAACCTGGAGCAAGCTGGTGGCGGTGTGTAAGGCAACGTGAGTTATGTCTCAATCCATGATGACCCAACTAAAGCCGGCAGTGCTTGTCATTTCTCTGCAGGGGTGGGAAAAAGTCTGTGTTATGGTCTGGTCCTCTCCCAACTCCCAAGTCATGCTTCAGTTGCATACAGTGTGGCAACCGTGAGCAGCGCTATTATCAGCTGACTGAAAATCCTTAGTTATGAGTTAAAATCATAGACTGTATATATAAAGGTTAAAATCTGTTACCTTGACTGCGAGGTTCAAGGCTTTTATTGGTCATACGTACATTACATAGGCAGCTACAGTGTAGTTATGACGATGAACATATTAGGTCACAGGCTCCTCCAACAGTGCAACACAATAAAACAGAAAAAACAAAAAGAATAGTGCAAGTAAATACAAAAAGAAAAATAGTGAAATACTGCAATAAGAGTCTATATGGGCCATTCTACCGAATTGGACCAAAGTCAGGTTGGAAATGTTTTGAAGTTTTGTATGTTTTTTTCCCCAAACTTTTTTACACATATCTAGTAAAAGAACCGTACATTTTTATATCGTATTTTCAGGAATATTGGAATGTTCTTCCTCTACCAAAAATGGTCACTACCGAAACATAGTACATGTACACTGTAGTAAAAAAGCATTATATTAACTGTTTTTGATTGTTTTACCTTCCCTTCTCTAAATAGTATTTTAAGAAATATTTCTTGAGGGTTTTCACAATTAAATTAATAAAAGAGAATTTTTTTATCAAATTTCAAAGTTCAATTTATACAATTCATAAAAATCATAATGCAAACATTCTTTGTAAAATGCATAATACTGATCATATTGATTCCAGAGTTGATGGTTGTTGAAATTGAACATACATTAAGTTAGTTTATATTTAATTAGTATCATATCATTTTAGTTGATAAGTCAATATACTTGATTTTTTACAAAACATCCAGTGTTTCGGTAGTGACCACAGTATTTTGTTCTCAAGTTTGTATCATATTCCCTCAACCGTATTGCTTAATCTTAACTCATAACATGCCTTATGTTGAAGTGTGAATGTTTGAAGCTACTGACCCAGAATCAGCACTTTAGTAACAGGCTGAAATAGAGGGGAATGAGGCTAGAATGGGTGATCTGTTTGGTATTTTGAGCAAAACACTTCAGACAGGTTTTGTATATATCTGAGACCTAATATATGCCTAACAATAGTATAATAAGAGACCTTTAAAGTAACACACTGATTTTCAGACTTTAAAACACATTTATTTAAAAAATGGTGGGATTTACCTGCTTACCATTCAATTTTGTCACTACAGAAACGATCATGTCAATTACCGAAACGTAACCATATGTTTCGGTAGTGACTGTTTCGGTAGTGATGATTCTAGCTAAAATTGAGCATAACCAAAGAATGTTAGCAAGTACATGGCTAGCATACACGTTTTTGAAGAGGTTTACACACATAAAAACCTAATACTTTGCATAAAACCCCGAAAAAGTTTACTTAATTGGAGATAATACAGTATGTGTTCGGTAGTGACAATTCTTAAGGTTACACGCCGATTTTCAGATTGTGGAACAGATTTATATCAAAAGTATGGGATATAGCTACTTGCCATTCAGCCATGAGGGACAGGGATGCAGTGTCACTGCCTAGTCAAAAATGCAGGGGTGTGGCTAAAAACCAGGCTCAGCCATTGGACTAAAACCCCTTGTGTTTCGGTAGTGACATGAAAACTGGGGACATTTTTTGAGTATAGTTTTTTTATTAACCCACAATAAATCTAAATATTCCAACTTCTGTTTGAATGTAATCATAAAGATCTTCTAAATACACCATTGAACACAATTTAAAAAAACTGTTTTAAGTGTTATTTACAGAAATAGAAATTTAGATGTCAGGGTTTGGGACAGCTACTTCCCAATAGAAAGTAACCTATAAATGATGTTTTTGTATATATTAAGCTTATCACTATCTAATTTAATGCCTTGTGTTTGAATAGACCATAACGTATTCTTAGTAAATATCTATGTCTGAATACTTAATTGTTTTGTTAAATAGTTGTTCTTGTTGTGGGACCGCACTTTGTACTAATTTGGTAGAATGCCCCATATACAAGTGATTGGAATATGATATATTAGATAAATAATTTCTAAATTGCAGCCAGATTAATGTTATGGATGTTGTTTCAAAAGTTCAGGTGTTTAATAGTCTTATGGCCTGTGGGATGAAACTGTCCCTGAGTCTGGTGGTTTTAGTCCTGATGCTGCAGTACCGCCTACCAGACGGCAGCAGACAGAGCAGTTTGTGGCTGGGGTGCTGGGGGTCTTTTATAATCCTGAGGGCTTTCTTCCTGAGCCGCTGGGAGTAAAGATCCTCCATGGATGGCAGCTCTGTCCTGGTGATGTGCTGTGCAGTTTTCAGCCACTGTGATGCCATTTATTGAGCTTTCACACATTTCTTCTCACAATAATTCAGACTGAAATGAGGATTGCATTGTCACTCTGCAATGTGCAAAGTGACAATTGCAAAAAAGATTGCAATGTAAAAAAAAACCTAGCATGTCTAATTGCTCCCCAATTTGTATTTATATATCAATAACATTTATATTTATAGTATCACAGTTCAATTGGGCCACTAGTTAGCTAGCTAATTGTATTGGATCTTAAGCATATGACCACCACCACCCTTTAAAAAAGACTAGACAAAAGGGCTTGAATGCCACCATTTTGAGTAAATTCACATTACCTGGAGGTTGCAGGCTGAGCAGAGCACTGCAATGGCTGTTGACACTGTTTGTCTGTGTTTCTACTGTACCTGTTGGTGCCTGCATGAGTAGAGCCAATGTTTTTCTTTTGCAGTAGTAATTTCACAGTAATTTACAGTGCTGGAATGTAGCCTACTACTCATTATACTATATACTATTATACTATTATATTTGGCAGTTCTCTAGAATTTGTGCTTTTGTTTAAAAACAAGAATATTAGGAATAGTTTTCGCAAAGGATAACTTCAGTTAATAGACATTTTTCAAAGCAATAGTGGATTTTCAGCATTGTTAAACAACAGTCATTGTTATAATTTTGAAATGTCCTTGAGCAAGACAATTTGTGCCAGTATTAACTGCCTCTGATACAGTATCACTCGTTGTTATTCTATCAAGTGTATCCCTTATTGATTTAACAGAACCAGTCCCTGACCTTTGGGACATTGGAGTCTTTCTAATGAAGTGACATTTCCTGTAGGCTCTTTTTTATCCTCTGCTGAACATATTAGCTATAAAGATGAATTGTCTATAACAAACTTTCACAATTAGTTTAAAACCTATTCAGAAACATTTGATTAATGTAAAGGTAAAGCAATATTTATGAATCTGTAATATTGTTAACTGTATGTTCATATATTACACAATGCAGTTAGAATAAGTGAGAGGATTTCATGGTATTCTTCAATCTTCAAAATCTTGCGCACAAATCAAGTTTTTACTAAACCGCTTCTAACAGAATCAAGGATTGGCTCTTTTATTTCAGTTGTATGTTAAGAATTTCATGCCCACTTGCATATGTAATTGGGAAATACAATTTTTCATTAACAATACCTGACAAACTACAGGATAAAAGGAACAAAGACCACATAAAATAAAGGTGTGTCTTACTTGCAGGTGTGGATAGGTGTACAGAGGTGAGCCTAAACTGGAAAGTTGTAAGCCATAATGCGTGTCCTTCATCTTGTGTTAAAACATTAGTATATTACACAGGGTTTGATTATTATGTTTAAATATACAAATATTTTAATTAAAAAAAAATTGAAAAATTCCTTCACAACTCCATATTTTTAAAGTTGCGTTTTGTCTTATTTGTATTACGTTAAAAAAGCCTTCAATAGACAGTGTTTCTAGTATTTATTTTTTCAAGAGGGGGTGGAGTTGGGGAGGAGCAATTACAAGTGGTTTCGTCAGACGCACTGAGAGAGGAGTATTAGTATACGAGCTTGAGGAAGTAGAAAAGTTCTTGTCCAAAGAAACCCTGACATCTCCTGCATCATGAGCTCTGAAACTATAACCGTGAAGACCGGTGAAGCGGCAGCTGCTGCTGACATTGTTGCAGCTCCAAAGAAAGGGGAGTGGAAGGTAAGAGGCAACATGATTCGCACCACACGATGTGGCCACCATGTCCATCAGATAAGATACTAACCTGTCCTCTGTGTCCTCCAGTGCCCTCTGAGTGATCAACATGTCCACAGAGAAGATGTGAGAAAGGTTTGGAAAGAGTGCCAAGAGGAAAGCTTCTGGTACAGAGGTATTCTCCTCTTAACATTCAACACATTCATAATGATAATTTTCTATCATTGTAGCAAACAATCAAGCCAACAAATCTGTCAAATGACACACTGAATACACACCACGTGTCTTTTGTATATTCTTCAAGGTGTATTTGACAAGTATTTAGTAGTAGAAGCAGTCGGCCAGGGCTAATCTATCAACACCCCTTTTTACTAAACACTCTGTGTTTACATTTACCTCTGGAATTCATCCGGCCCCCAAAAACACTCCCATATGTGGACCCAGAGTGACGTTACAAATGGCATAAAGAGATTTGTTATTGCCATGTTATACTTACACTACCTTCTTTTTACGCTAACAGTGGGTCGATTAAAACGGTCTATATTCTGTGCTTATTTTGAATCCTTTGTACGGAGTTCAGTGAATTATTACAACTGCGCAGAGTTCCTAAGGTTACTCTGGTCGGTAAGATCTCGTTTGAAGTGTAGGTTGGTTGGAGCTAAGCCAGGGGTGTGCTCAGGTCACCCAAGTCTTTCTATTACACTAAACCCCGGAACAGCACACAGAATATTGTGGAGACGGTTGTTAGCATAGGCTGCTGGAGCTAGCTTAGCTGACCAGCTACAATCCACAAACTGGTCCTTGTTTTCAACACTTTGTCTTTAGCCCTGATCCCTGTCCTTCATCACACTGCCAACTAAGCAGCTGCTGTTTGTATTCTGTCACTACGCAGTTATATAAACATGAAACAGCACTTCCTGAATGAGAAGTCCAGTCCTTTTTCTCTTAGAAGGTTGACACATTTTTGGGTCCCGTCCTTTTGCTCTAAGGAGGTAGACAGATTTTTGAGTCTCAATACTTAACAGGTCAAAGTTCAGTCAGTTTGAACTCTATTCAATCGAGGCACAATCAATCTATGACAAGAGATACATGTAGCTTTCACAGGAGCAAATTAGTGTTCAATCAGTCAAAAATCTATAAAATCACCATTGTGAATATACCATTGTTGTATTATATGACCCTGTTCTCTTTCTTTCTTTAGCCCTTCCCCTCTCTATGGGGAGCATGGCTGTCACCGGTGGTCTTATCTACAACGGTAAATCACTAATAGTCAAACCCTGTTCTTGCATCATATCATAATCGCACAATGAGGCTAAGAACAAGTTTATTTCCATGCAGGTGTCTGGCAATCGTCAAAGAGATTTGGACCATTCCCAAAACTCTTAGGTGTGTACCGACCAGTGTCTTTGACTCTCTAAGCAGGAATGCCTTTATGAATCCTTAAGCAATCATGACTAACTATGATTAATTTGTTTCAGTTGCTGGGATCCTTGGTTTCGCAGTGGGAAAAGCATCTTATGTATCGACCTGCCGAAACAAATTCCAGGAGGTTGGCATTGAAGGTGGACCGGGATCTGGACCCTGGGCTAAGGGCGGTTCCTTTGGACCTTTCAATAAATCTGGTCATGGACACAGGTGGGGAATACAGTATTTCCTTGAAAACAAATATTACTAAAACCCCACAGATGCTGCAGCATTATGAAATGTTGCCACACACTACTAATGTTGTCTTTTTTTTAGCTTCAAACATTGGAAATAAATGCCTTTTTAAACAATTGATTTTTACAATTGAATCTGTCCTATTTGTGCGTCAACATTTCTGCTTTAATAAATAAATGATTATAATAATGAACGCTGACCAGATTGTTATCCCTACAGATCGTGCCACCATGTGTGTGAAGAATGTAAGAAGACGGCTCAAGATGCACCTGCAGAACAAGTGAAAAGCTAGAGGTAAACAGATCCTATCTTGGCAGAGATATTTGAAAACATATTTCGCGCACAGCTCTGAAGCTATTAAAAAAACAGATTAGTGCACAGTCTAGACAAGTAAGTGACTAATAAAACTACTATTATTACTCGAAAATTGCAAATCTTCAAAATAAGAAAACCAGTAGAACATGATAAAGTATTTGACTGCCAGGTGTGGTTATGTTTTACCATGGTAAAGTAATGTGCTGTTGATGTATTCCTTTTTACTTTTCAGGATCGTCAGAAACACTGAAGGACTGACTGCCAGTGTTGATATATCACTTTTTTAGTTTCTTAAATGCCATGAATACAGCATATATGTTGTCTAAAGTAACTTTGATATGTTGCACATCATTATTCATTCAGGAGAAACCTGACACACAATTGCCACCAGGGGTAGCTCTCATGCTTTCAGTCAAAGATCCTTTGTAATGTATTTCATCTGACCATATACCATTTGATTTTCATATAGCGAGTGCCTTAATCAGATGTCATTATCAGCTTCAATATACTTTTCAACAACTTTCCAACACAATAAATACTCCATATAATATAAAACAAGTTGTCTGTATTTCTTACTATTACTTGTTTTAGCATTGTTTAATGAGCAATGTAGGTCAACAGATTAAAACAATATATATATATAGATAAAAGGAAATGTTTCTCATTACAAACGTTTCCAGCCATTCTCTCATTAGCTTATCCTTCCATACAGAGGCTACAGTGTTTGCCCTGTTTAACCTGGATCACCATCTGGTTAGGGACGGGTATCTCAGGAGAACGCTTTAGCAGAGTTTAAGCTGTTTGTGTGACGTTTTCTATTATTGTGCTTTTATGTGTGTATCATCCAACTAACAAACATTAAGAAGCTCCATCAGCCCTTACATTTGACACAACCGAGCTATATTTAAAAGCATCTCTCACACTATTGGTCGTGGTAAACTCAAATAAAATGCAGGTTAAGTTTGATTCACTTTATTTGTTTGAATATATATCGAGTTATTCATAAATGAAATACAGAAATAAATGTAAACAGAAAATAATATATTAAGAAATACAAAAGTGTTTTTCAAATTAACTTGCATTTATTTGATGACTCAGACTTTTTACATTACTTTCTTAACATTTTTATTAAGTCATTTATTTATTATAATTGCTTTAGTCTTCCATAGTAATGTGAGCCAGTGTCTCAATTTGTATATCAAAATGTATCACTACAATGGACAGTGTTTATGTGGGATGTTAGTGAGTTTTAAAATAAATATGACCTGAAATGGACTATTCTGCATAATGTATGTATACTTTTTATTGGTATATTTTGATGCTAATACTTAAGTAGATTTTAAATGCAACCTAAACATTTTATTTTTACAGAGTGGAAATACTAATTGTACTTAAGAAAACCTTTTTAAAGCACAGTCAAATGCGTAGCATGCAGCCCCAATTAATGACGCAACAAAGAGAAAATGACTTATTTTGCATTATTTTAATTCATTTAGAACAAAGTAAATGGGACAGTCGTCAGAGGGCAATTCACATACAAGCTTAAAAAATATGTTACTACATTCAGTTGTGTCAAAAACATGTTAAACTTATTTTTTCCCTTTCTTTTTTGCATCTTTGCCTTCGACTGGTGCCTCCTCTTCTTCCTTTCCTGTCGCAGCTTTAATCCTCTTCTTTCCCAGAGGGGTCTTTGCATACCAGTTCTGATGATACACAAACAAGAGAAACAAAAAACGACATTCATTTACAACAAAGCCATTATAATTGTGCAAAATATGGTATATGCACTGACCTTGAGGGCCTCTTCTTCCTCCTGAAACACAGGGTCAATCTTGGCTAGTGGAGCCACAAACTCTGCGGCCGTCAGCGGTCTGTTGGCCTGCTGCAGGGTGCGGCGCTTGGTGACGATGCTCTGGATCACCTGGACCATGTGACCGGGTGTGTAGCCATCAGAAATCTTCGCAAGAGAGCCGAGGTCCAGCGCCCTGGTCACATCCCCGCCCTGCTTCCTAATCAGTCGGTTCCACAGGACTGAAGGCAAATGGATTGAAAGGTAAATTCTCCAACAACCAAAACTCAAGCGCTACCAAAATGTGTAAATTCTTACTGCATCTTGAGCCGTAGTCCGGTCTTGGGATGAGAATGATCTTGCTGTACATTTTACAAAGTGACTTGATGTCGGCATTCAGCGGGTCTGTGGATGTTCCCACTATCAGAACACGATCCTCCCCTTTGATCAACTTCAGAGACTTTGGCAGGTCTTTCTTCAAGCGCTTGGGATCTAACTGAGAAGACAAACAAAAATGTTTCGAATGACCATGCAAATTGAAAACTGAAACATTTCATTTGATAATGCTGTTCAGAGTTTTGTCCGGCTCAGAAATACCTCTTTTTCTTCCTTGGGAACCTTCTTGTAGAACATTTTCTCTGCGTCTTCGATCCATATTACTGAAGGTTGCAGCAATCTTGCAACCTACGCAGAGATGGTCATAAAAAAACTGCTTTAGAGACAATACTGCAAATAAACTCATGCTCCACCAAATTCACCATAAAATATTAAACTTCACCAATAGTGCTACAAAACGACAACATACTGCTCCACATTCCAGAAATAATGGCAGTAGAAATGTCCCCTTTTTTAGGTTATATTTCTCAGAGTACTTAGCCATAATGGATGAATTCTTACATATACTGTACGTCTTGTGAGTTATTGCTGCAAATGTGTAGTCAAGAATTATGAATTAAATGGAAAGAATACCTCACAGCAGTTCTTGAAATAAAATAACCACTATCATTACAAACTTAAATGTTAATCATGGGAGGCTGTGGCGCAGTGGACTAGTGCGTTGGTGTTCGGATCAGGGGAGCACAGGTTCAAACCCCACTGCAGTCAGCATGTCTGTTGTGTCCCTGGACAAGACACTTCACCCCAAATTGCTCCTGTGGGGATTGCCCACAGTATTGAGTATGTAAGTCGCTTTGGATAAAAGCGTCTAAAAAGTAACATGTAATGTAATGGTTCTTTCACATCCCGCTGTTACCTTGAACACCATGTGGAGCATCATGGCGAGGCCACTCTTGCCCGGGTACTTCCCTGCCGTGTTCAGTGGGGACAGATCGAACAGGTTGGCTCCCGTCTCCTGGCAGATTGCATGGATCAACATCTTCTTACCCACTCCTGCGGGCCCTGCCAGTAGGATGGCCTTTATCAGAGGAGCCTTCTCATGAACATACTGAGAGCCTGCAACAACACACACCTTATAATCAAACCAGAGACAATCATCATATTCATTTAATGTTGAATTGAATACAGCTTCATACCTAATGGTAAAACAGCATATAGAGATAAGACCTGCCGCACATCTGACAGTGATGGCATGGGCTCGATGTCATTTTGCCTGAGTGTGGTCCCAAGGTAGCTGTAATCACCTAGGTGACAAAAAGGATCGACTGTTAGTTAAAGAGTTATTAAACACTGCAAGTAAGGCATTCAAATACATTTTCTTTCATTGTGATCATAGTGTTGTGGCAAGCCGAAACCAGAAGAGGGTGACACATCACCACTAAATCATTTCTAGTGACGTTTACAGTTTCAAAGTGTAAGCGCTGTACTTTGTTTCGTTGATTGCAATCGGATTTATAGCTCACGTACATTTATGATGATAAGTCTAACACAAAGAGAGATCTCAATAACCAGTTTTATAAACAATAAACAAAGACTTACCCATGTAATCCTGCAGCCTAACGTTATTAGCCTGTTTCAACAAGCCCTGCTCCACCAGCTCCTGACACAGAGACTCCAGAGTCCTAGAAGACGGGAATAAACAAAGCAACAGTTTAAACAAGCACTGACTAATAGTGGGCTTTATATGGACTCACTTCTATACTGACATTTTTTTTCATATGTGCATCATGTGTGACCTCACCTGTCAGCTGTTAAATCTTTCTCCTTTTTCTTCTTCTTCCCACTCTTAGATCCTTTCTTTTTCTGTGGTGAAAATCATTGGTAGACAGCTCAGGGTAATCATTATAAACTGTGACCAGCCCTTCCAGACGTTTGGTGGATTTTCTCTCACTTATTACCTTAGCATTGGCTTTGGTTTTCCCACCCTTGTCTTTATCCACAGCTAGCTTCCAATCAGCCAGCTCTTGTCTCATCTGCTCATCCACCTGTTAGAAGCAGAAGAGACCAGAGAGTGCAGCTACAGGTGGTGCCGTGTTAAGTTTTGTTGTTCAATTCCTAACATGTGTTTGTTTTCTGTAGACAGCATCACCTTCACTCGAATCTCTTCCTCAATCATTTTCCTCCTTTCCTCCTTGATCAGCTCCACCTCGTGCCTCTGGCTGAAGTTTCTGGTCTCATTTCGGTTTTTCCAAAAACCTTAGGATGAGAAACATTCAATTTGAGGTTTATTTTGACTGTTACATAACTATAAATAACAATATTCATACCAAATACGTCATAAAATCTTGACTTTTTTTTCATTTAAACATACCTTCAAAGATTTTGTTTTCCATTTCCAAGTCTGACAGAAAAGCCGAAGGCATCATCTTCAGCCCTGCCTCCTCTTCCTGTGGTTCATAATACAGTACAGTGGTTCAGGAAAACGGCTGATATACTAATTATTATAGTAATCCATAAAATATGGAGCCTTACATCCTCATCATCCTTTCCCTTTTTCCCCTTTTCCTTCTTCTCCTCCTTCCCCTTTGGTTTGTTGTCGGATTCATCATCTTCCTTTGCAGCAATTTCCTCCATTAACTGAAAGATATGTGCACAGCAAACATAATTCACCTTCTTCCAACTGTAAAAAAGTAGGCAATGAATCCTACTTTTCGGGTGTTTTTCACCTGCTGAGGGTTCTTTTCAGCAAAAATGAGGGCTGAGCCTCCGTCCTCTTCTTCGGGGAAGTCTGGAAACGACCCTGTGGTATCACTATTTCAAAAGAAACACAGCTATTTGATTTAGTTAGTGTTGAAATGCTTCACTGAAATAACAACAATGAAACAGCCTTCACCTTACCGGCATTCAATGAACCACTGTCGGATCTGCTCTTTCATGGTCTTGCTGATGTCATAGCCCTCTACATCTCGTAGTTGGTTTGTGACGGACACTAAAGACTTCTGGTAGTCCTCGTTGTGCTCCTCCTGTTTGATCTTTGTGCTAGCCTCACTGGACTGGGCAGCGATTTCTGTGGGGCAGGGCACCTGGTATTTTGGATCCATGGCCTAACATAAACATGAACACACATACTTTACACATTAAACATCTCAAAAAGACTTATGAAAGAAAAAAAGTCACTTGATTGAGCTGAATATTATTCCTACTGAAGTACAACAAGGAATACTGCAATACAGCTTTAACGATAAAGCGGCTCCTTTGTTTTTAAACACAAAACTGTTTTAGATTTAACTTTATTTTAAACATAAAGGATGACATAATGTCTTAAAGAATAGACACCAATGACCTCTTAGATCATATTATTAGAAACAGCGGTAGCTTTGTAAAAAAGTTGTGGATCCATTTTTGAAGTTTAAGACAACGAGTAAAATGGATGGCCGATTTAACTCACCATTCCCAGAAAAATCATTTCTTCTTCCCGAACAATCTTTGTCCTCTTCCTCTGCATGTAGCCCCTCCACACCTGCAAATCAAATTCAACAAATCTTTGAGCATGAGGGAGGACAGACAGAGGCACGTGGGATTATGTTGATGATGGAGCACCTTCTGTATGCAGACTGTGGCCGACTCAATGGCGTCTGTCCCAGGTTCCTTGGTCCTGTACATCCTGTTCATGTTCCTGCTCTCTTCATTCAACTTGGCCCTCAGGCGTCCTTGTCGGGCCCTCTCTGCCACTTGAATGATCTTAATGGCCTTCTCCTGACTCATGTCCTTGGCCATCAAGGGCTGTGAGGACAACATAGTTATAACATTTTTCTGCTTATCCTTAATAAATGTAACAAATAATTTAAAGGCATTTTTGTTGTGAAGTTAAAACCTGTGTTTGTTTAACTTTTATCCTACTTTCCCATTTTGTTACAAAATGAATGATGTCAAAGAATATCAAGTACAGGCTTTAATTTAGATGTGGCTAGTTTTTTTTAACTCACTTCTGGGCTTTTAGTAACCTCCACCAATTTAAGAATTTCTGTCAGCATCTTTTTTCGTTCTTGGAGTTCCTTGTTGCGTTCCCTGAGGAAATAGCGAGGGATGGGGATCTCAAGGTCTTCCTAGGGTGGCGACAAAGGAAAAAGCTGTTGAGTTATTTCATTATTGAAGGGTAATCAAACATATAGCCAATGCCTGCTGCTGATATGTCAATATAATTTAGTTTGGGTTTATCAGAATCTAATTTTCATTATACTTGCTCTTGAAACTCACAGGTGTAAGCTTTAAATCATGAAGGACATCATCCATGTAGTGGTACTCTGAGAACTCTTTCTCCACCATTTCATTTTTCAGCTCTAACACCCTCCCGATCACACCATCGAGAATCGCCCGAACAACTCGTCTCTTCTGAGGGTGGACCACCTGGTCATAGACCTCCTCCAGCTGTCTGAAGATTTGGATGTAGCGCACATAGAGCATGGCCAGACGCTGGAAGAACACCACCCTGTCCTTCTCTGGGCGGGCGGGCTCAGCAGGCAGCTCCTCAGTTAGCAGGCGGCTCAACGCTAACTGAGCGTCGGCCCACAGCTCGCTGTATCCCCTGGAACAGTGGAAACAATCTGATTAGCTGAGACTGGAACAATGGTACTTGGGAGTTGAGTGATAGTCAAGAAAGGCCCATACCTTGTTCATAGAAAAATAATTAAAACTTCACCAACCTTCAAGGTGCAAGGATAAGGGGAAAAGTCTGAAGAGGTCAAAGAGTCATGCAACACTTGTAGGATACAGAACAACCTTAGTGTAAGGCCGACACGTCTCAGCTGGTGGCCTTCATCAGGGTCATCACACATTGGTCTTACAATAAAGCTGTTCTTTACTATGTACTACATAGTGTAAAAAGTACTAAGAAGTTTTACTGATGTAAGAATAGCAAGACCTTAATGTAATCATACTATTTTAGAAGTAACAGTTCTGCATTGAATTTAATGTAAAAAATTACATAATTATTAGCAGAAAAATAATTACCAAAGATAAAAGTACAAATGGTCAGTAATAGATATTTTGTATCAATGTAGAGCTACATTTGATTACTTTATTTACCACTATGTATCTTAATCTATTATAATACATCATGTTGTTTTAGTTTAATTACATTTTTTATTCATAATCTTAATCTGCCAAGTAACTCACTCCAAAACAAAGCCATGCAACATCACTGCCCAAACAGCACGTGTCAATGTTAATATTTTGAGTGCTTGCTGCACTAATACCTGTACCTAACTAGTTACTTTACAGATTCAGATTATTAGCTAAAACAACATATAACTAAACTCATAAATACATTATGATTATAAAATGATAAGATATGCAGTAGCAGTATACAAAGTAATTAAACGTAGCTCCACCTTTACTTGCTGTCATGAACACATTAATGCATTACAAAATAATAATATAAATAGTATATGATTCTAAAATTGAACATTACGCACAATAAGTAGTTTTACTTTGGGTACTTCTAAGTATATTCTTATGCCACCACTACTGGACTTTAACTTAGTCACATAGTATTTTTACAGTCTGGTATTTCTACTTTTGCTTAACATATCTGAGTACTTCTTCCACCACTAAGTATTGTATTGTTTACGTGTTATGCACAGCACTGGCGGTTCCCCTTTGAGTCACTAAACTTTGCTATCTTTGTTAGCATGAAAACATCTAGCTAACGTTAGCTTCAGTTACATTTCATAAGCTAAAGGTAAATTACGCATTAGCCAGCAAATGTACAGCAACAATGGGGTTTTGTTTACCTTTGAGACATGTCTCTGGCTCCAGGGAGAGAAAAATGTTTCCAATGTTTCTTAATAACCGAACAACTTAACTAATTTAGTTAAATAGAATCAAACATTAGGACAGTTTTCCCAAGTTGACCTGCTGCTTGGTCCGTCTCCATGGTGACAGTCACTCCGGAGGCGGAAGCTGATCATGTGACCGTTATTACAAAAACGATATTAATTCACCTCTGGGTCTACTAACTGATTTTATTAAAAGAAATCACCGAAGAAAATAACACTTTGTTTAAATAGGCCAAAAGCCTTTTAGAACTACGTAAACTCTTTAAACTGTGCAACAAGTGAGACAGCGTCCTTTTTTCTTTGGATACAAAAAAAAAAAGGCAGTAAAGATGAGTTTTTATTCTAATAGGCTATAGCCTTGCCTGCTTCAATTGTTTGCTCGCAAAATGTTAATGCGATCGGTGTATATCAGCTCGACTCGGCAGACGTATAGCCTCATTTATATGACGACTATAGTCTAAGTGACAGAATATAAAACAAATTGCAGACTTCATGAATGTATTATTAAATAAATCCTTTAATTTGATTGATTCACTATAAAAGTAGGGCGTGCAAAGTCAGCAGTAGATTCTTTGACTCATTTTTAAACATATTTACATTCAAATCTCAATTTATTTTTAAAGCTCATTCCAACTATAAGGATGTATAGGTGCCGGATGGGGGCTCGTGGAGGCGCATTCTCTGCCGCGCTTAGGCGGTCACAAGACTTGGAGATCGGTGAGCAAAAACATCGACACGCTGTCAGGTCAGCCAGAAGCTTACAGGCCACATATTCTTCTCTTCTCTGACTCCAACATCCAACAAGTTGCTCCTCTGGAAAACTACTTTCCTGCGCGCTCCTGCGCCACGGTCTTTTTTTCAATGGATTTGTTACTGGGAGTATTTTTTTAGGTTTTAAATCATTATTCTGTCTGTAAAACGTATTTTTATTTTGAGCTCAATATTTATCTAAAACTACAACTAGTGATGTTTTGGTGCGTAAAGGAGGGGTGCATGCCAGTAGCGAATGCCACTGGATGAAATTGCACCAAAGATGTCAACATTGCTTTGCCACCCACACGAAATCGATTGTATTACCTTCAAGAAGGTGGCTCCTCGTATAAATAGGGACGCGTTATTTCAAGAAAGACGGTGAGCACAATCTGCCGGCTGTACTCTCTCTCTCTCTCCTGTCCGGACCTCAGACAACGCCTGGAAGGATTTTGCTGAAGACAACTGTGTCCACTCTCCAGGACATAAGCAACTTTACCTCCTAAACTAGTAAGTCTAAAGTTACATTCACTTTATTACTTTCCCCTTCACTGTTGCCTAAGTAGATTACATTACATAATGTCTGGTGATTCATTCCACTTGTTTGTATGTAACCTCTAACATTTTTTTTTTTAATTGTAAAGATGTGAGACATTTCTAAAGGCAAGCAATCCTGATAAGTCTGGTGTTAAGACAAAGTGTACTGCTATCATTTAGTGTTTTTATTTAAAAATATTTAAACAGACTCAATAGAAAGCATGTGTAACACAACTTATTTGCTCTTGTTTCCAGACAGTGAAGTCATGCAGGTGGAGAGGAAATGGCACATTCTGTTTACTATATTCTTTCTGCTCATCACCTCGGGCCAGTGTATGGACAGCAAGGTCGTCAAGCAGAAAGAAAGAAGGACCCTGTTGGATCTAATCTTACAGGTTATCAGAGAAAGCCAGCAACGGGACAAAACCGTCTCCAGACGCTGTAGCAGTGGACTCTTCACTTCAGCACAAGACATGAAGTCCACCTCCCGTGAAAAGCCTTTCTACGTTCCTAGGCTGGATAACAGTAGACTCATAGGTAAGCTGATAAGATTTATTTTTAGGACCTGATCATGAAAGTATAATCCCCATTTTACTGTGGGAGACAGCTGTCATTTGTCTGTACATCTTATTTAGAAGTCGGTTGACGTGGTGCATGCATGTTAATTCAAGATTAATACAGCATAAAATAAGTTTTGCCAAGTTATAAATGTTATTTTGCAAGAATGTGCTTAAAAGACAGCATCCATTGCTCAGATCCTTCAGTCTTAAAAGGTCCAACTACGCATGTAATATAGGCTGGCTTTGTCTTTATCTTAGCCATGTCCAATGTGTCATACTTGGTGTTATAATTACTACGAGATACATTTTCACCACTGTCTTGGACACATTGCACATTGCAAGTGATTGATGGACAGATACGTGGATAGGTACTATAGGTACTCATGTAGGAGGAGCATCGTTGCACCGAACTTGTGAATGATTCATTCAGTGTGATTCATTGTGAAATCTCGAACAAGAATGATGACCACCCACGCACGCACACAAACACACTGTGACGTCCCAGAAAGCGTCTCCAATCGCAAGCATCTCCGCGAGACATATCAGACACAGCCGAGAGACGAGACTGTGGTTGAGTCACATTCATGTAATTTACAGCTCAGTATCAAAGCCCCTCCTTTAGACTGTGAGGAGACTTTAGAGCCGGCCAGTCCAAGTTACTGATTCCAGCTTCTACCTAAATAAATGATCAATATTATTCTCACTAAAATTGAATCTTGTTTATTTCTCCTGACATTCCTAGTTGTAGAGATGCATCTGAAAAAAATCCTCTTTATTGGCTCAAATAAAACATTATGTCCGGACTGGAATGAAGCCAGTAAAGTGCATCTTTGATACATACATCTTCAATTATCGGAGATGCAAGACAGAATGCTTTCCCAAATCAGACTGTAATAAAGAGAAAGTCACTTTATATGGCTGCAACAGATCAAGTTTAGGAGATAGTCTAGGTTTGTGCCTCACTGGTATGTGAGTTTAATAAGAGCCAAGTGAACATGGTGTGTTGTTTATCTGCAACCTCAGATACTCTCTTCCATCACTGTCCATTAGATCATGTTTCGAGAGGTTGCACAGGCATTGTAAAGCTCAAAGTCTCTGCCCCAGCTTATGCAATTGGAAAAGTACCTTTCTCAGACCAGTGACTGGATGGAATTTATCTTTTGAGCATATTAAAAGCTGCATATTAGCAACTGGTGCGTGTGACACTTCCAAAAGATCCATGGTCACGCAATGATAGATGTTTTGAACACAATGAGGGGGAAGGAGAAACATCTGTAAACCCACTGATGTGTTCACCCTGTAGTTGGTTTTGCGTGTTACTCAGAAGCCATTGCTGTGTCTTCAGAATGACATCTTGATTGTACACAGAGAATAACAGGGAACCGTTTATTTCACAATCGGTTTTATCTGTTACGGTTTCTCGTTTCACTGGTACGCCACAATATTTCAGCTTTAGCCTGGCACCCTTGACCTTTTATATATAATTCTTGTTGACGTGCATTTATTAATGCCCGGTAAAATACCAATAAACTCATAAAGTACAAATCACATTAACTGGCTTTGTGTACCCAGGCTGCCACTTTCAATGTTCACATCTTGGTCTTTTGGTTTTGGCTTAATGGCCCATGTCTACATCTCTTTTTAGAACAATCAAATCTATCGAGTTTCCTATAGGTGTGTTTGTCCTTTTTCATTTGGCTTGGTTGCCTTGATTATTTGGAGTTTAAATACATTTCCAAAAAATCCTTTGCTAGTTTTTTAATTGGCCAAATAGTTCTCTTTCATACAGTTACAGCACTACAATGGTCTGGGGGATAATTTAATGTCAGCACTGTATGGATGCATGGATTTATTCTGATAAGCATTAAACTCCCAAACAATAATCTCTTTAGCTTGTTAGAGTTGCCAATATGGATTTTGTGTTGAAAAGAGGGGGGGTGGGGTGGGGGTTACCATTACCCATGAAATACCCCGACCGACACCAGTGACATTGACAATGACAAGCATCGTCATCATAACGACTGTGTGACTATTTTAAGTTCTCACTTGTTGTAAAATGATTGTTGATTGACAAGCTAACAGTGATTTTCTTTCCCAGAAATTGTTCCTAGAGATGTAAACATGAAAGGAAAATTCATTCAGCATTTCACAGGTAAGAAAATCACAATCGCAAACAGCATAATGAGGGTAAAGTTTCAACCTTGATTGCATTTCACTGACGTCCTTTCCAGACATTGCAAAACTATTTTATCTAACAAACCTTTCAGAGCATAGTTGGCACGTTTCCTGTGCAATTTTTGGCTGGAAGTTCTTAGTTCATAGGTTGCCCTTTTTAGAAAATAATTCCTGTAGGACAACAAACAACATACAGTATGCTTAGGTAGTGGGAGGTTCATTAACACTGGAACTGCTGTGGGTCAGAAAGAGGTTTGGTATTAGCTATAGGGCAGCAGTGCAGAGAAACAGCACATGGTCTAAAGCCGACAGAATTAAGTTGAAGCCAGTGCAAGGTTAAGCTGATTATTTGTATCAGGTCCTGTGAGTAGACTTCATTATTGGTGTGAAAATCAGAAAGTTTAAATGTTGGTTCAGAAACTCTTAGAGGTGATTATATCTTAAGACTCAAGTCCTCTGTTCACTCAGTCCAGTTGAACCCTGACTCCTTAACCATGTCTGCGATAGTGTACTGCACACTGTGGATCACACACAAATGCACCTAACTGAGAATTTGTTATGCAGTACAAGCAGATTAGATAGAGAGGAAGGAAAAGAAAGCCCTTGAAATATGTTTCATGTTGCCTGATAAGACCTTTTCTATTAAGCAGGACCAGTCAAGTTCTCGTCGGAGTGCAGAACACACTTTCATAGACTTTATCACAACACAAGGGATTGCTCAAGACCAGCATGTACGTATGCTTTTTTTCCTCTCGTGTTTAAAATGTACTCCAAGAGCAAATGTTTTCTGCTTTTTTTCAATCAGATTTTTACTGTGAGTGGTTCTCATATGATTTGTTTTTGTTGTTGCCATTGTTGGAACAGTATTTGTTATGTTTTACTGAGTTGGGTGGGGGGTTTGTTTCTTTCTTGTTGTGCTCATCTTACTGGTTTTAAATGGGTGGTGCTTCACTGAAAAAAGGTTGAAAATGTGACGTACTTCCACACATCGATCAGTATTTAGCAATATTTTAATCAAGATGTGATCACAGTTGGTTGAGCCATGCCTACAATGTCCTGATGGAGCAGACTAGCTGAGTTTTTGAGTGCTAAACAATGCAAGAAAATTCAAAGTTGATGTTTTTTCTCAACTTTAACTCTTGACTTTTGGCATTTTTAGTCATAAATACTTTTAGAACATTTTAGAATCAAGTTTTAAAGACCTTGAAAACCATTTTGACATGCAGATTAATGTTCAATACTGACATTTGTTTCTACTGAATGCAGTCAGGCCTGACTGGCTGTGCAACATTTAAAATATCATATTAATGCTCTGTCAAAATGAATATGGATCTAAAACAAAATGATCAGTGATTCCCAGCTGTTTTACATATTACAATTGTTGCTTATTGACCAATTACCACAGGTTGCATATTTCTGTGATTTGCAAGAAGCTCAACCAAAAAGTTGCTTTTTAAAATATGTTTTACCATGCATTGCAACCCCTTGAAGTCACCCAAAACCCTAGGTTGGGAACCACTGATGCAGAAGCACCCAGAGCTATAACCACAGTTAGCATACTGATGGAGCAATCCTTCTTTCTGGGATGTTCACATCTGGGAATTAAGCAGATGACGTCAATAAAACATCAGAAAATGATTGCAGACAATGCTCCCCAGTGACAGATGGATATCTGTTTGGTTACACTTGCCTTTATTGTGGACAGAGTAAATAAAAGAGAGAAGCTCATCTTGTCGTGCATCTGTGAGGCAGTCATGTAAGCATCAAGTCAGACTTAAAGCATAATAATATCCTGCTGCGACATACGGTAGGTAGTTCAGTTTTAGTCAGACAAGGAGACAGTGTGGACATGGTCAGGATTCATTTGTTAGACTGGAATGACGTAGAGTATTTTATAATACATGGTTCATTTAATCATGATAATATTACTGATGATATGAGAAAAACCAGTGATTGTGTGTTTTGCATGCAGAGCTGCTCCGTCAAATTCACATTGCAACTTGAACTGTATATTGCTCAACCTCTGACGTCAGTACTGTCATATGTCTTTTTTATTGATTTGAACATTTCCCTCCATTTGAATGACATTTTAAGTGTAAGTGCATTATTTTAAAAACTCAGTTATGACCTGTATCATTGTTTACAGCTGAATTAGTACGTTTAAGGTGGTTTTCCTGAAGAATCCAGCTATTTAGAGAGGGAAATTATATTGTGTTGCTTTAATTACAAGGTGGTATGATAAAAATAATAATAATATTTTTGTGGCTTCTCTCCAATGTCTTTTTTCAGATTACAAAAGATGTGCAAGATTGCTAACACGATTAGCAATGAGTCCTCTCTGCATGCAATCGTAGATGTTGCATGTGAGTAAAAGTGTTTTTCTCTTCCTGGGTGGGGATTAGTTCACTCTAATAACTTGTCAACATCTTTTAAAGTGTCAAAGTACAAAGTGTAAATAAATGAATTACTCAAGATTTATTTGACTGTTAACAAACAATTAACTTAATCCCAATAATGTTTAATACGTATTTAATGGTATGATTTTGCTGTTCTATCATTTTTTTTGTGTGATTTGAAATAATTAGAAATAATTGTATCATAGCTCTGAAGATAACAATTACATTCTGATTACATTTGTAAACGATTAACAGTTTACTATTGCAAACATTATAGCATTAAATATGCTATATTTAGGATTTGTTGATGATTATTGAATGATTTGCAAACCCATACCAAATATCTGCTCCAATAAGCGTTGTAATGTTTTAACTACAATGTCTTAAAGGGGTTATCAAAACATTTGCTAATCATTAACAAAATTGAATTTATGTTTATGTTTAAATGTTGTGTGCAACAGTCATCTGTTAAAATACCATTAATTATAACTTTAATAATAATAATAAGTAAACATTGTTTATCAGAATGTCTTTGTTAACAGTAAAGCTATCAATTTACTATTTATAATTGATGGTTATTTAAAAGAATTAAAGGTCAACTGTGAGTGTCAAAAATATTCCTACATGCTTCCGTTAGACACACTTAACCTTAACACCTTTTAAGAGGCTAGGACTCAGACTATTGCCTGCAGTCATTTTAGACGTAGTCCCCTTCATCCCTTTGTTAGGATGACAGCAGATCTGACCTTTAGTAGGTCAAGCTGGAGAGAGATTACTGCAAAACGTTCATCTACACAGGTGGCCATTTCAGTTTTTCACAGTATAAGATTTCTGGTGAGTATAAAAGCTGAAGTAGCTGACACATTCTCAGGTATTCAGTTTCGCAAGTGAATCAGATAAAATATCTCTACTGTTCTGAGAAATCTGACAAATGTATATCACTATCTGCTTTTAAAGGCATATAAAGTGATTCATTATATCATTATTTAGTCATCCTGAATGAGCTTCGGCATAACATCGAGGAAATCCAGCAATGGCAGGCCAGTAATGACCCTCTTAAGAAACTGACGACACTAGTCTCTTAGAATAGAGGATGTTAAGATGTGTCTTTTAAAATACCAGACAGTATTCCTCTTGAACACATGCTTTAAAAGATTGCAGAAAGATATTTACTGTGATCTAATTCAGCGTTTTCTTATTTCGTTCCAGGTCCCAACATAATGGAAGAGGGATCATTGTGTTGCCAAGGAAGTGCCTTCAAATCCACAGCAGTCATATGAACATTGTCGAGTTTATAGTGTTTCTATTTTTGTTGTCATTATTGAAATTGCTGATGGACATTGTTGAAACAATGAATGGATGTGCTTTTTATTTTAATGTACCTGTATGTAGCATATATTTGTAAGGAACCATTAATTTAATATTAAATACACCTATTTATTGAAATGGTATGTATATAATAATTTCACAATCATTCAAAATCAGATTACTGTGGTTATAAAAGTCATATCTGGTGGAGGGGAAGCCATTTTTATCCTTATATGAATTTATTTTCCGCTACTATGCTGATATTTTATTCAGAAATTGGTCTGAGAGATTTTTCATCTCTTTCGTTGTCTTCATTACGTTTGATTTGGCACTTGAGTGATTGCTGACAGTGAGAACATATGGAATGACAACAGTGGTGATTATGCACTGCAGTATTGAACAATAAAGAATATTGAAGCACAGCACATTTTGCTATTATTGGAGCTGAAGGGAATCAGAGAAATATGAAGAGGATTAATAACTCCGTCAAGTGTTGAAATGACGGCTCAACATTCATCCCAGAACTCCACTCTGTAAACATTTAAAAAGCGGTAAACAAAATTGGCCTTTGTTTACGAACTGGCTGCAGTGGGAATACTGTTTTCTTTTCTTTCTGGCTCGAATATGAATTTATTATTTTTCAGCACCTCATTGAAGCAGCTCTCTTTCCCCGCGCCTTAGATGTTTCCATGGCTTATTTCCCTCTAAAAACAATTTGATGCAAAAGTTCTGGCAGTCAATCGAAGCTGTCAGATCTCTTGGACTCAACAGGATGTTGAGCAATTTGATCTCGAAAGAACCAAATATACAGTACTTTGGATAAGATCAGAAAAGATTAGGGAACGTCTTAATCACATGTTCAAGGAATTTTACATTTGTAGTTTTCAGCAGAGATGTATTTGTGGAAATACAGTAGGTATGTGGTTGAGTGAAATTAATTTTTTGACAGCATTTCTCTGTGTTGGAATTCAACAGACACTGAAATGTGATGGCTGCCAACATGTAGAGATCGAGATTTAGGAAAAAATTGGAGTGGTCTCAATTTATTTTTTCCAGAGCTGTACATTTCTGTGTAAGCGGATAATCATTGTTTTACCTTTTTCCCCGAGTGTCTTTTTGCCTTTGCCAAATAGTTTTGGCAATGGTTTCTTTTATCATATAATGAGGCTTAACTATTTCCATCAAACCTGTTCCAGATCATCTTAATCCAATGAAGGAAGTGTGTCTACTATAACAGACCTCCAGCAACAGACCACTTGTCAATGGTTTGAAATCGGATACACTGCGAACATAATGTCTAACTAGTGTCAGTAAACAATATGTATGAGATTTGTAAGAGGCTAAAACTCACTATCTAATTTCAATGGGAGATAAAGGCGTCTAAGCTGCCATATAATGCGACTCTTGATCATTGTTTATTTCTGCAGGGGGTTTAAATTAACTTCTCTTACAGTAACAGGGTGCCATAAAGTCCTGACACAATAAACAGGATGTAACATTCTTCTTCTTGTCATGTTGTATCATGTGGATAAGTGCCTGGGGAATCGTTACAGTGATTGTTTTAAGGGTAGTGAAATAAATATTGGGCCCTGCACAAATGATGCTGATAGACTATAGGTTCTGAAGGAAACATCCAATAAGCCAAAGATTACAGCAGCTCAGTTCTCACGCCAGCATGTCTATATAGACTCTGGATTGTGCATTATTCAACACAGTTTGGCTTATTAAGAGATTAGTAAAAAAAAGCATTCTGGGGAAGTAGTCAGTTCAAAAGGTTGAACTGAAAATCCATTAAAAAAAATCATGATACCTTTGGTCCATGCAGTGTTTCCAATTTTATGTAAGATGGCTCTTGTTCTGAAGGGCCATAAAATGTACAATTGTCTCTCTCCTACAAATCACAGCCTCCTCAGGAGCAACAGGAGAGTCCCTCTAAGAAATGCTCCATCATAACTGCTAAAACAAGGACTTTTTCTGTCACCTTGTATCATGATTACCTCGGACAATTAATGGAAACGGGTGATGTTTTCGGCCCAAACTATAAAAGGATTAGGAAGCTAAAAATACGTCTTTCACCACACAGAGAGGCACTGGGGAACCCTTTCCCTCCAGGTGGGCAGGGCAGGGACACCAGATCCTAATCTGAGGAGGATATCACTTATCTGGAGACAAACAGCATAGATTAGGAGAGGAGACAGAAGATGCTTTGGGGACAGCATGTGGGAGGGCTCTAACACAATTACACACAAGCACCAAATCCCTCCTCTGATACCTCAGAGAAATGCTGGTGCGATAAATAGTAAACAGAGACCAAAGCCGGGCCATTTGTTTCCTGTCAGACTGCACCCGGATGCTCCAAAGCTCCTCAGCAGAGACAAGACACACCTAATGTTTTAACTAAAAGCTAGTCACAACATCTGCACTGTTCTTTTCAACAGATTGAATAAGATCTACACATTAGCTTTGTTATCCTTTATTCACTATTAGCTGTGATTTTGACCTGACAATGACACCAGTCTTGCAGCAGACGTTGACATTTTTAAGCAAATTCCAGGTCTGAGTAAAACCAGCTCACCGACTAAATGGATTGCCCCGATCCTTGCTTTAATTCATTCTAAATCATACACATTTTTGTTATTTCATTACCCCTTTGGCACTAAATTAAATATAACACGCGGCAACTATTCAGCGAAGATTATGACGTCTAGCATCCTAACACCTAAACATGGCTTCTTATGACGTATGTCAAACTCCCCCCATCCGCAGAATAATTTTGTGGCAAAAGTAAACACTTTAATCCAATTTCTTAGACCCCAAAGCCTCATTCAAGCAAGAAACCTTATTTATAGTGATTGCAGTAGTCTTGATGGCTGTAGAGCTTTTTGATTCACTTCACGTCTCATGATTAATTCATGTCTCTTCATATGTCTTATGTTGAATGCTTAAATCCCTACATGAGTCACCAATAATATACATTGAGATAATACAACCTTCATTAGGGATGAGACAGTTGAAAGAGGATTGAATTGTGTTCGTCACATTGAGCATTGAGAAAGGAAATGGAAATGTCATGGATGTGATTGACTTTGACAGATTTAATAAAGACAGCAGCTTCTATTGTTTCCTTGTGTCGTTGAAAATATGTTTTGGATATGTTTTATCCCCACTCTGATCTTTTGTGGACTCTGGTCCACGTTGCAAAAGATAGTTTGATGGGAAGTGAGTTGCTGCCGCTCTGTCTGTGCGCCAGCTGCAGCGTCTTTGATCCCCTGCGCTGGAGGTGTTGGCACGGGTCTGCCTGCCACCCCCTCTGCTGCCCCACACTGAGTGTGCTCTGACGCCTGCCATGGCTCAAACATAACTGCAGCGATTAACTGCAAGGCATCTTTCAGCTGAATGTGTGTTTTCACCCCTGCTTGTGACAGTTGAGAGTAATTCACAATTAGCTTCGAGTTAGCTTGATTTATTGTGTGTAAAAATTATAAAAATGTTAATTTATCAAATGAGGTAAAAAGAAATGCCTCCAATGCTCAAAGGGGTCTCTGTGCCACCAAGCACTGACGTTAAGAGCCATTTATATGTTGTACTATTGCATTTGTCATGCATCATAACTGAGGCCTCATTTTACATTTGACTGACAGTTTAACATCTTTTAAAGAACATATTTGCTAAAGAGGCATTACACAAGCTGTAATCTTCTTAACACTACCCTCATCAAGTCATTTAAAGTCAATAACAATACATTGAATTTACACATGTCATTCATTGCCTGTGAGATTTATTCTCCTTCAAGAAAAAATACAATTTATTTTTTAGAAAACATAAAGTGACAGTGTTCAGAAGGATTAATGTTTTTAGCTTAAAACACCTTGTGCTCTGATACTACATAGTCTTTTACCAAACATATACAGTTTATATTTAGGATAAATTACAGTAGTTTTCTATTCCTTAAGAGCAGATTCATAAAAAACGTGCATACAAATAAACACAAAACCACCATCACTGTGTGGAGACAGCTGAGGTATTGAATGATTTTATTTTCTGTTCCACGACATGAGATCTTTCAAAAGTGAAAACTCATTGAGGTAATTTAATATAATATTCACTCTCTTTGACAAACACACATGCGAGTCCGTGTTTATTTAATCTACTCTCCTGACAACACATCAGAAATATAAATGAAGATAAAAAAACTAAAATAATACAACCGTACAGATTATTTAATTTAAAGCATGCACATAATGAAAGGCAATTGTATTATAGGCCATTACACATGTAAACTGTAACATGTGAGTGAGTAACAAACCAAAATCAGTTAAGACGTGATGTGAAATTAAGTTATATTTCAACTTATCTGGATTAAAACCCACATATTAAGTTATTTTCTAATGAGCAGGGAACTCTTACTAATGAAGTGTAGCATATGGACAACAAGAGTAAAGGCCACTGAGGTCAATGGCTGTAAGATACAGTATCTTACAGCCATTTACATTTTACCAGCAACAAAGTATGAGTTTCCCTCTAATCTCTAGAAACCAATTCACCACTTAACCTTTTTCAAAGAAATTGCACTCTCGCAAATGCTCTCAGATCCAGGCCATCATGTAACAAATGGCAATGTTTCTCACAACAAAACAATGGTTATACTAAAACAAATATTTATAAATATGAAACGTGACATAATATGAAGGAAACATCATAAAATGTATGTAAAAAGATCTCTATTGATGATGCAAAAGGTGTACTGTCAGCTAATGGTGGATCATTAATATAACATCAAACCATCAGAGAATAGGCTCTGTGTCGTTCCAGTTGACAAATGCATCTTTCCACCTGAAACAAAAAATAACCGGTTTAAGGCATTAAGAGCTGACCCAGGTGCAAACTGCATGATTCTTTACAACTTCAAGGAATTTGATAAACACATTTTATAGTTGTTTTGAGGATCTCCAGACATCTCTGGACACATGGCTTTCTGTGTGCTAAAAATGCTTAAACATCCCTACCTTGTTCGGATGCAGTGCTCCAGCGGAGGAATGAGATCAGTGTCGACATCTTGATAGCTGAGGGCCGATTTGCCAACAACTGAAAATGCAAACAATAAATTAGCATTTTCACTTAAAGGTCCCCTATTATACTGTTTTTCATCAATATATTATAGGTCTCAGATATATACAAAACATGTCTCTGAAGTGTTTGGCTCGAAACACCAAACAGATCATTGTAGCATCCCATAATCCCCTCTGTTTCAGGCCTGTTTCAAAAGTGCTGATTCTCTGTCTGTTACTTTAGATGAAAATAAGGAGCCACTCTCCACGCCCCTCAGAGAGATACTGGGTTAAAAAGAACACAATGGT